TCAATGTAGTGGATTGTCAGAGATGATATACAGACGTATGTCTAATGCCAAAAATCTGTCATACTGCTGTTGAGATACCAGTAAGCGATCGGAAAATTCTGGTTTATTCAACGATGGAAAATATAATAATCTGACAGTAACAATGTAAATATAGTAAATGAAAATGTTACTGAAACAATGAATTCATTAAAATCTACTGATATTGGAGATCAAGAGAAGATCCTAAAATCTCAGATAAATCTGGATGTGACTGAACATGATTTACAGAATCCAATGGTACCTACTATGCTCAAAAAATATAAACAAAAAATTATATATGTTAGATGAAATAAAAATGGATTTAAATTAAATCAAAGATTCCATAAACTTTTTGTCAGCGAAGTATGATGAAATATCCTTAACACAAAGTAAACATGCAGAAGATATCAAGATATTGAAAAAGGATGTGGAAATTTGAAGTCTAATAATACTCAAACAGTAATTTAACTTCAAAAATATTAATTCAAGTTAATGATTTGGAACAGTATGATCAAAGAAGTAATATAGAGATACATGGAATAATACAAAAAAGATAATGAGGACTGAAAGATATTCTACACAAAGTAGCTGAAGAGTTTTGTATACCTGATTATAAAATAGATGAAATATTAATGGCTCATAGAGTACCTGTCCATAATAATAAAAAGATAGCACCTATAATAGTTAAATTTAAAAGTGTTTTGGATAAAGAGAAATGGTTGAAGAATAAGAAGAAAGAGGTTAAACAAAGTCAACTCCAACATAATATGGGATAAGGCAGAGTTTATATAAATGAAAATCTAACAGTTGCTAATAAAAGGCAAAAACATTATTAAAAGAAAAACAGTATAAATTTCTTTGGACAAAAAATGGTAATGTGTTTGTAAGGAAATTAGAAACTGAGAATGTAATAGAATTAAAATTGAATTGTAATTTTGAAAATTTGTAATTTAATTGTAATCTATGGATGTTAATGTAAGAATTAGTGAATATATTGATATAAATTGTAAAAAATTAGAAACTATAAATGATGTTATACACAAATTAGAACATATTGAAAGTGATATTTTGAATTTGTTACATATTAATATTAATAATATTCACAATAAGTGGGACTATTTTTGTGTAGTTGTTAATGATATAGCAATAGATGATATAGTTTGATATTGTTAGATATATTAATAATCATATAGACATTTCTAAAAGAATATGAAATCCAAAATTATAGTTTGGAAGGCTATGAAAGAATTTATAAATGTAGAAGTAATGAAGGAGGAAGAGGAATTATATGTTGTTTTCTTTCTTTTTTTTATAAGAAAACATTTATCTATAGTGTTAGTGAAATTGTAAGATGCAGAAATATTATAATTTACTGTTGAGGTAAATGATTATAAGTTTTAATACTTCCAATTTACAGACCTCCAAATTACAATTCTAATCTCTTTTTTTTTAATTTGGAAAAATTGCTAAATGAATTAAAAAAAACTGTAAACATATAGTATATCTTGGTGGTATAAATATCAGTATTAAAGAAAAAAATAATGAAAATAATAATCTGATCAATGACTAAAAACTTGTTAAATTTTAATGGATTTCAACAAAATATAAATGTTAATACAAGATCAGAATGGTTAACTCGTGTTTAGATCATGTGTATACAAAACTTACAGGTGTAAATTTAAAATTATGTGATAAAGGAAAAAATATCAGATCATAGTATGATTTTAGTTCATTTAAAAAGCAATTTAAAGACAGTAAAACAAACTATGAAAAAGAGCATAGAAAATGTTTTAATGATTAATAAAATTGAAATAAACAGTGTTATAAATGATATAAACAGCTATAATTAGGAGGGCCCCCAGTGGCTCAGCGGTATGTCTGCAGACTTACAATGCTAGAATCCAGGTTTCAATACCCATGGTGGGCAGAGCACAGATAGCCCATTGTGTAGCTTTGTGCTTAATTACAAACACACAAACAATAATTAGGAGGAGTTCTTAAGATTAAAAGATCTTGAGATAGTGTATATAAAAAACTGGTTTGTGTTTTAAATTAAATTGGATTAAAAAATACATTTGACATTTAAATTAGAAAGAGGAATACATAACATAAACTTTGGATAGATATTTTGTAGTTAATAAGAGAAAAGGATAAATTATGGCATAAGTATGAATGGTACCACATAAAAGGCTTGTAAAATAACATAATCTCTATAAGTGTGGGGAATAAGTTAGCAAATTTGATAGAAGAGTGGCTGGAGGTAACAAAGCAGTGGTTTGTTACAAATGGAGTTGAGTCAAACTGGATTAATATCACAAGTTGGGTACCTTGGAGCTCAGGTTTAGGACCTTTGCTGTTTTTGATTTACATCAATGACATAGATGAAGGAATAGTTAATAAATTACCTAAATTTGCAGATGATATTGAGGTCTTGGGTACTGCTAACTGTGAAGGGGTTGCTGCTGACTTACAAAAGGATTTAGATCATTTAGTGAATTGGGTAAATAAATGGCAGATGGGGTTAAATTTTAATAAATGCAAGATAATGCATGTGGATTATCATAATTTGAATTATAAGTATAATTTGGACGGGAATAAACTTAATAGTATTATGAAGGAAAGGGATCTTGGTGTAATAGTCGATCAGTCTCTAAAGCCATCCAAGCAATGTGCTGTTGCTAGTGGTAAGGATTCTAATAACCCTTCTCTGAACCCTTTACAACAATTCCATGTCTTTCATAAGGTAAGCAACCCAAGACTGAACACAATATTCCAAATGTGGCCTAACCAGTGACCTATACAATGAAGTTATAACCTCTTTAGACTTATATTCAATATTTATCTAGATAAACCTAAAATCCTATTTGGGTGCCTGGAATGGAGGGGTTGTCATATGAAGAGAGGCTGAAATATCTCAAATTGTTTTCTCTTGAAAAAAGAAAGAGTTGGGGGAAGGGTCTGATTGAGGTGTTTAAGATTGTAAAGGGAATTGATAGTGTTGATGCATCATCTTTTCTGATATTCAATAGAGATAATAGTAGGACTTGGGGACACAAATATAAATTTTGGCAGTGTAGGAGTCATCTTCAGCTAAGACATTTTTATTTTTCTAACAGGGTGGTTGGCTTTTGGAATGAGTTGCCTTCAGATGTTCTAGAGGCAGTAAATGTAAGTGAGTTTAATAAAAACTTGATAAGTATATGAATGATAAGAGCTGGCTTTAAGATTTTTTATAAAATTATTTTAATTTTGTTTAGAGGATGGAACAACTGAGATGGACCATTAGGTCCCATGTTGTCCTAAAACATTGTTATGTTACTAGAAAGGAAATGTTTTCTTTATGAGATTCCTCATACAATTATTTTATTTTGTCTACCATTTTACAGAGTTTGTTTGACATTCCTTGTATGCTGTTCTGCTCTGAGTAGCTCCCATTCTTTTAACTTATTTATAGTTTAATCAAAAGACATTTAAATTATAGGTGTTTTGGGACATTCTATTTTAGTGCGTGATATAATTTTGTTTTCTAAAATTGCCTCAAACTGTAATGGAAGCTTTAAATTTCTTGTTTTTTTTTGTATATATTTTTGATTTGTTATATATTTTAAAAAAACTAACTAAAAAGAAAAATCAGAAACTTTTTATGTTATCTAACAAAACATTTATCATGATTAATATGTAAATTTCACAGTGATGTAACTTTGGTGACATGAAGCTGTCCTGCTGTAACATATTGGGTTTCACATACTGATAGTGTCTCAAGTACATTATAAAACTTTAAAAATAAAAGAAAGGAAATATGTGTTACAGACTGAGATGTGTTGGGATAAATGCAAGTAATTCTAGAAAAATAAAATAATTCTTTGATTTTATTTCATATTTTTCAACATTTCATTTCCCTGTTTATCGATGATTTTGCTTCAGTTAGTTTTAGAGCAGAGAAATGAAGAGATTCAAAGTATAAAGTTTTACTGAAAAAAATTTACATTGATTAAGGAGGTTCTAGAGGTTATGAAAATGTTAAAAGAAGTATTTATATTCTTAGGATGGAGATTACCCTTTACTTAGATAGACTCAATAAAGGCTTTGTAAATTCATAGACAAATCTTTAGTACAAATACTTTACTAAAAAACTGGCTGTATACAAGACGTATAATATTTAATGAACGCTTACCAAATTTCATGAAAAAACACCTTGTACATTCAGAGCAATAGTATGTATAGTTTCATGGCTATCTGGGGATTACAAGGTAAGTCAAATTTTCAGTTAGATCAAGGTTGTTCATTTTAATCAGTTAGTATCATGATTCACAAAAAAATAACCAACTAATCATAATTTGTGTTTGTTTCCATTTATTGCCTCTGCCACCAAAGGTGACAGAGGTTATGTTTTCACCCCTCTGTGTGTCTGTGTATGTGGACGAAAGTTGGTATGACCAAACATAGAAGTGATTAGTTTTTGGAGGGTCAAGAACACAGCAAGGTCATATATATTTTTAAAAAAATGTGTATCTCTTAATATGGGGACTGATTTTTCACACTCTTCTCATTCTATAACTCACTCATTGATAATGACAGACATATGGACATATTTTTATATTTTTTGAGGGCCGAATATAATCAACTTTGTATGGCAGAGGTATTCACTCTACTGAGTGCCCCTCTAGTTAGTGTATTTGATTATTTCAACTATCTAAGCCTTATATAAGAATAATTGATTAGATTAATGTAATTGATGAATGATCCTAATTATTAATCAGTTATCAAATGCCACAAATTGTCTAGGTCTAGTTACAAAAAGTGTATGAGAGGTCTTGGTTGATTTTGGGTGTTGTTTTGAGTACTTCTATTAACCTTATTTATGGAAAGCTTACAGGCTAGATTTAATACACAATCGTGTAATCATGCTGGTATCTTTTTTTTAAATAATTTTCATTGGAAGTGTCAGTGTGATAAAGCTTGTGGGCTTCTGTATATTTCAGATCATCATGGATTTGGGCATTACCCTACTAGACACAGAGAAAAACACTTTCATGAAGATCATGGTATGTTATGTTTTTGCTTTATTAAGAACAACTTTGAAGTGTATTTATATGTTCTGTTTGCTTGTATTATCACAAACTCTTGTATGCAGTAATGGAAATAATATGGGAAAACACTCAAGTGATACACATACAGAAGTCACAAACAAATAGTAATGGCACCTATATGTGTGTGTGTTATAAATTGTTAATACAGAAAATACAAAAGAAAAAGTTGTTCAGTATACTAGTATTCTGTATGTGAGCTTTGCTTTACTCAGAGTATTACCCCTTTTTTTCATACTGCCATATCAAAGTACAATTGTGGAATAATGATCTAAGTGTCCTGTATTACTCTCCACCATCCAGCCAAGTTGTTTGATCGCTTTAGAATATTTTCAGTTTTTATATAAGTCCATACAGCCTCAAGAATGTCTGTATTGGGAATTTTTTCATGTCAAGTCTTAGTTGTACTGTGTTTCATCAGTGTTTTCATTGTCAAGATATCATTTCAGCACATTTGTTGTATGCATATGGTTATTGTCTTGTTGTAAAATAATACCTGCTCAATAAGTCATGTCCTTCAGGGAATGGCAAGATTAGTCAGACTTTGCCTGTACTTCTCAGCCATTGGGGTGCCATCAGTTTTTGTGTAGATCACCAACACCACATTTAAGAGTTTCCCCAAACTTGTATGATTCGCTCTAGATGTTGTACATTGTCCACAATACCATTCTGTTCTCTCGTCAAAAACTGTTATTGATTGTTGTCAAACAATTCTAACTTGGATTCATCTGTAAAAGTTACATGTCTCCATCTTTGATTATTCTGATGTTTGTGATCTGATGCCCATTTGAACATTTTGATTGGGTCACCTTTTTTCAGCAGTGGTTTTCAAATAGTTATACATCCATTGAGATCACTCCGTGATAATGTATGTCATATTGATTTTGAGGTAAGAATCAAACCTGCATTTTACAGCAAGGACTTTGACAAAATTTGTAATTGACCTTCATCATCTTGTAAAGAACACAAACCCCAGAGATACTTAACATCATTTTGGGATACTTTTGATTTTCTATTTTGACCAGTTTTATTCTTAACAGAGCCAGTTTCATGTAACTTCTTCAGTCTTAATATAATTTTTTACTTGTTGTATCCTTGACCAGCCAAAACTTTTACTTGCATATGCTTATCATGGGTATTTCAGTCCTGGAAGACAGATTGACTACCTGTATATTTATAGGACTTACACTAGTGTGGCACTTCTTGATTATTTGGATGACAGTCAATCATGCTGTGAACTGTGACCATTTGACACGTATGCTGGTGTAATGACAAAGGAGAGACATTCATATAGTATTTATCTTGTGTACCCCTCTTCCTTGTCATTTCCATAATTACTTACAGTAATACTTATAACACTATAAAATAGAAACAATAACATTAGAGAATTAAATCTTAGCTGAAATGTTTAACAAGGTTTATGAGTTTTAAGTATTTTCCATAAAATTGTGTATTTTTGTAATTTTACCTTTAATATAAATTGAGAGTTACATTTGAAATATGGATTTCCTCAAATATATGAAGAGCTAAGAACAAGAAACTTGCCTACAATTATGTCTGAAAATAAGTTGCATTGCAATGCAAATTCTCCATGGGTAAAACAAGGCTAATCTAAGGGTCTTTTGAGTATGATTTACATGGCTATCTCAGTTTTATGGATTAATAAAATGTGCCCATGGATCCCTGTTACTTTCACTATAATTTAACTAAGTAGGAAGTTTATCATGATTTAATTTAATGGCAAATTAAACCCATGTACTTGAAATTTGGAGGTTCACATTTTTCCATTGTTCTTCTCCATCAACATTTTTTTATATCTATTCTGTATGACCAATGCTTTAGCAAACATAGTTTAATGTAACTTTTTTATGAAACTTTTATGATTTTTGTCTGTGTTGTATACCTGCACTTCTATGATTAATGATACAAAAGTGTGCTAAAGTGACAGCTTTCAAATAGGGCACTTTTTTTTATAGACCTTTGGCTTGCATTGCCCAGAGTTGGCTAGCTTGATTACTATAATTCTGTAACTGTTATTGGAAACTGTTGAATTTTGTACATGGTGTATACTTTAGGTGCACCTCCACTGTCCAAAGGAATAGTAAACTTAACAGCATGTGCTACTTTCACTTGTTAGAATTAGAGGAAAATAAGGATTCATGGTTATAAAATTGATCATTATTTTATAAAAAAACAACAACAATATTTTGAGTCAGCAGTATGCTAATTCCACATCCTCCTAATACTCTGTTCTAAATACATGCTTATTTATTATTGCTCTTTAGGCACAAAAAATTTTTTTTATGTTAACATTGGTAGAAAAGAGTAGGGTAGGTAGATTGTTTTTTCTCTGTTTTTTTTACTAAACATTTTGACACTGCACTGTACACTTATCAAAACGGTGAATGTTTTTGACACATTCAATCCAATCAAGAAATAAGTTGCGTTCATATTTTTGTTTAATTACTGTTGTTTTAGCAAATATACAGTTTATTTTTTTTTGTTTTAACATATTTACTTTCCATAAATCGTATAGCTTGTAGACCAAAATACATGTTTCTTGTATATGTAATTGTCCCAATAGATTTTCAGTGAAAATACAGTACTGAAATAATAGTTGTAGGTCATTTATAAACAACATGCCAAATCCTCATTTTTAATAACATAGTTACTTTTAGAATTATCACTTATTACCTAGAGCACACATATATATATGTTAATTATTAATTTTTAATATGAACTACCAGATTATCTAAACTAAATTAGTAATTAAAGACTGTAACATGTTCATTTGTGTTCTACAGTAATATTTAGGCACTGTTGAACCTCTATACTCTTACATTGTAGTGAATGAAAACACTTTTGATGTATGTAAAATTATATGCTTTTAATAATGTTGCGTATCTGTTCATTTGTTAATTTCTGGTATAAATTCTTTCCGAGGAACTTCAGCGATACAAATCCTTTCTTAATTA